TCATAAATGCAGCTTTTCACTGAAAACATGAAGGGGAGTTTTGGGTTATGGAAAAACAAGGATGTGGTAAATAACAAGACAGATGGTCCAGGTCTGTTGACAGCAGCTTTATGCATGGCAACAAGGGAAGAGAATTGTACTGCATTTCTGCTGACCCCTTAACTCTGTGAAAAACTGCTAACCTCCCCCCTCCAGCTCCCAAACCCACTGGTTTGTTTCATGCATCTTAAAACCTCAGTCACACTGATTGATACCCTGTGGAATACCCTCAAGCTTAATTTTTTTGTGAAAAACCATAGAAGTTCCCAAAAGCACAGAAGACTTGTTCCCAAAAGCACAGAATACTTTCAGGCCATTATAGGACTGAAGAACCACAAGCTACACAAAATAATACCCCCCCCCCCCACACACACACCATAACCCTTTTCAATTCTCTATGTTCCATTAATAAATGAGAAAATAAAATATCAAAGCACAAATACATTTTATTTCATGCAGCAGGCATCATTTATAGATTACATTGGGTCTAGTTTGGGAGAGGTTATAATTCAGTAATGGCTGCATAAACAGTCAACTGTTACATATACACACATATTTTATTGTGCACGATAGCAGTTGTTTACCAAAAGATAATTAATAATCTGAGGGTTTTTTTAGCCACTGCAGTTTTACAGTACGATGATTTTGACACTTCACAGAAAGATTGTTTTCTGTTTTTTTTTTTTCTCAGTGGCTACAACACCACAATGTGCCTATCCTTAGTCGAGACTTCTTTGCCAGGTTCAGGTCCTGGACCCTCAGTCTGGATTTGTCTCACGACTGGAGGATGAGTAGAGGGAGTCAGGAGGATAATGAGGGCATGAGGTGGGCCCAGGGGCAGTCAGCAGGGCCCAGCTAGGTGGATCTGCCTGTGGCGCTAAGCCTCTTAACTCACTGCATCCTCACTGGCATCTCCTAACAGGTATAACACCACACATTGCATTCATGACAATGTGTGGAAAGCAACATTGGTTCTACAACAGACATACCTGTAATTCCAGTAGCCACATGATAGTCACATCACAGTCTGGGTGGATTAAAGCTTGAGGGAGTTAAGTGAGCATTAAGTTTCATTAGGGGCATTTGCATGTTACCCAAAACACTTGTGGTAGTCCTGAATCTACAGAATAATGAGAAATTAGCTCATTTGAATTTCATATTAAAGACAGCTTTTAAAAAATTAAGCATATCGTGTCTTCAGTAGCAGACTTTTTCAGCACCAGGAGAGCGATAAAAACCCAACTGTGTGGGTTCTGCCTGTGCCTCTTTTCCCACATATTCCTCTTTTTCCTTGCCAAATTCTACCTTGTTTTTCTCTAATAGATATGGCTCAGTGTTGCTTTATGGGCCACACTGTACACATCATGAATAAAAAACTGTCTTGTGGTTTTTGACTTCATGTCTAGCTACCTTGATTTTGTGCTTGTTAATGACAGCAATTAGAGCAGTGCTTCAGCACAAGGATTTATGCTCTATGAATGGATATACTGCTCATTCAACAAAAGGATTTGTGGTTTGGGCTCTTTGGCCCGTGTTATAGTTCAAATTTGAATGCTGTGATTCAAAATGAATAAAAGATAATACACAGTAATATGGACATGATAGAGATTGTAGGCCGAGAGAAACTGTACATGAATAAAGCATCTATATATGCATTTAATAATGTGTGAGCAAGCGAGGAGACTATGGCAGAAGCAGCAAGCCTTGAAAAGCATGTGGCTACAACATCAAAACGATGTTCAAAGTCATTAAATGACACTCAGCTTAATGATTGTTTTACATTATATGATTAGGAACAAAAACTGCTTGTTGCTTGGCTTTTGGCCACGAGCTGACTAATACTAAATTAGGTTTGAAGACATTTTCGTTAATGCATCAGAAGCTGAAAATAGCACCTCTGACTCACATCAAACTGTTGTCAAGCATAATTGATACCTCAGATGAATATGTAGTCTCAAACTTCTAGTTAGTAAGTCATGCACCATGATTTAACTTTGGTGAGTTACTGGGGAATTCATTAACAAGGAGGCAAAGGTACAAACGGTTGTCTCCACTTTGCAGTGCACCAGCTTGTGATGTTGTGACAGATGTCATGGGCCAGATTGATGCTCCATATAAATACTTTTAAGTTACGGCACAGGCACAGAGATGTTTGTTGTCATCCGTTGCTACGTTTCCATTCTAACCTCTGAACAAGTATATACTCAATGTTGTTTTTTTGCTGTCAACAACTTCCACCTAGCACTAGATGTTTGTTAACTGCTATAGATTCACTTTTGCTCGTCAAATTATATGCCAGGCTATGCTCCCCTAAACAGACAACCCCACCTTTTTTACTCCTCTTATTTCTCTCTCACTTTCTCTCGCTGCCCCAGTCTCTTGTTCTCACTCTGCTAAAAGGAATGGTGCTTGGCTCTGGACCATTTTTGGACCATGTATGTTTTAAGTGTGTATCGTAGAGAGGAAGAAAGAAAATAATGAAATAAAGTGAGAATGATCTTAAGAAATTGGTTCCAAAAGTGTATCAATGTGCATTTGTTTGGGTGTGTTTATTTGTGTTTCTGTGAGTGTGTGGTGCTCCAGCTATAGAGGAGATGTCATTCTTCTGCTCTAGTCCCGCCTCTATAAATAGAAGTCTCTGCACTGCAATTCCTGGGGGCTTTGTTTCCTTTTTTTTCTCTTCATCCTTTTCTCCTGCTTTTCTCTTCTACTCCTTCTAGTGACTCTATTAGGCTATCTTTACGTTTATCAAACAGCCATATTAGGATGCAACATCATTACTTGAGAATAATTCACTTTGATGGAGATCACCCACATGTATAATACACAAAAGTAGTTATGGCTGTATGGCATCATACATCATTCATTATCCTTTACCGATCCACTGAAATGTGGTATCTCCCCAGATTGTATTGCATTACTGTTTTATGGAACTTACTTCCCCAATTCATTATTTATCTTTGGTGTAAAGCATTTAAATGAGCAACTTAATCATGATGACAAAAACTATATTCATTCTTCTATTTGTCTTTTTTTAGATTAATCAATAGTCATTTACATGTGTAATGTCTTCATTATTTACAATTGAAACAATAATGAATTTTGATCATAATTTACCAGACCTGATGTTGATTAGTCCATTTAAGCTAGTTGTTTGACCAAAAGTGAAGACTCTATTCAATCTACAATGAATTTGAAATGGAAACACGCAGGTCCTAAAATCTGAAAAACGTTCGAGGAGAATTCTACATTGTTAAGTTCTTGGATTGCTTATCTTTTGTCAGAATTATCATTCTGTCATACATTTTGCATTGGTTGACTAATTGAATTAGCAGACTAATAATTTGAGCATTACTCACATATTAAGTTTAACCACCCAGCATGAACACAAATCTTTAGACTTCCGTGCTTGTTCATAGGTTGTACAAACACGAGTGAGAAGCAGAGAATGGCAGCTTTTACGTGCACCACTCACATTCAGACAGCATCAAGTATAAAGCTTCCACACCACTTCACTGCAGAATTCGACAGTTTGAGGATTGAGGTGATAGTTTTTACATTTTGAATTAAATAGAAATGATAAATACCGAAGTGCAAACTTGTCGCCACGCCTTCTGAGCTGTCAAAAACCAACACACAAAAAAAGAGCTCCTGGTTTTTGTGCTTAGCACGTGTAGCACCCGAGAAGAGTGAAGACTGAAGAGGACCATTTCTGGGATGACAGTTTTTGACTGCCCGCATGCCTGAATATTGTACAGTAGCATTATGATAAACTCAACTGATGAAATGATGTGATTGGGTGAATGCAATAATTGTTCAAAATAGGGCTGCAGCTAATGATGATTTTAGTATTCGAAGCTTCGATAAATTATTTCAACGATTCATCGATGCGTCGTTTAAGAAGTAGCCTACTTTTGCTTGGTGGCAGCACCCCTCCGAGCGATCCTGCACACGAAACCACTGTTTGTTATTATAAAGATGGCAATAATAAAGGAGAACAACAAACGCACGTGTGCACATTTTCAGCTGAGGTCTGCGGATTACTTTGGCTACCCTTCAACTCAACAATCAATCATGAGTTCAGTTAAATGCTAAAGTTGCTGTTACTGTTACCTTGTCTGTGGTCCGCTGGCAGAACACCAGGGCTTTTTGTTCAGGTGCCGTTGTGCTGTTGCCGAGGCCATAAGTTTCGTTTTACGGTGGACAGATGGTAACATTACAGAGTTGTTGTTTTCTTTAGCTTGAACTAATCCCATGCTTTGGACACTTTCTTCTTTGTCCCTCGCTATTTTCTCTATCTTCCTCCACTTTGCAAACAGCTCCAATTTAATCACATCGTGTTCACAGTGTAGCCTAAGCGTGATGTGGGACAGTAATAAATGTCCCTGCAAAACACTGTTCTGTATAGTTACATGGATTAAACAAAGCATCAATGCAAAGAATTTGTGTAGATGAATTTCATTAATCGATTTTATCGATTTAATTGATGAATCGATTCAGCCCTAGTTCAAAATTTGGGATTAAGTATGGCTGCAACTAGGGATACAGTGAATGCAGGGTGAGTTAACTTTTAGCTTTGGTTTGTCTCTCTGACTTGCTAACAGCGTGTAAACTGAAGCTCTCAGTGTTGCTGCTCTTGTAAAAAAACGCTACACGTTGTTCTGTTGCTGTGTGCGTCGGCAGAGTCTATTCGTCCACTGCACATGATTTCACGTTACGCAGTTTAGTCAACCAACCAGCATATCTAAAAACGCCACAGACTCCTCTATATTTATGTCAGTTTTTGGGCTCATTGCAGTTACTATCACTGTCTTCTAAAGACTTATTTGTTTTCATGTAATTGTCCACGGGATCACTGTATTACCTATAGGCCTATAATATAAAATATAAAATCTTGATAATGCACACTTTGTTAAGTTTTCGTAAGACTGAGGACCGGGGTGCGGATACAGAACACTCAGTTAAAGTAAAGAGTTTATTTACAAAGAACTGAGGAACTAGTAGTACAGAGTGGTAGTAGGTGAGATGTGAGCAGGGGCAGGCCGTCCTGGGCAGTGGCAATCAGCTCTCCTAAAGATCCTCCAAGCAGGACTAAAACACACCGGATTTGGTAACTTGAAAAAGGAGAAAGACAAAAGAACGTTAGTCCGGGTTCAGGCAGAGAACACACTAGAAACAAACTAAATGCTCAAGTAGCAAAGCTGGCCTGAAGTACTCAACCATGCGATGGCTAGGAGTAATCTGGCGATGAGTTTTATGGAGTTCCACATCTTAAGGCCAGGTGTAGATGAGGATTGGCAACAGGTGTGTAGCCTCGCCGGGTGATCAGCTCCCTGCCAAGTGAAAGACACACCCACACGTGCCACAGAACACCACAGGGAAAAAAAAAGGAAGAAACCCCCAAGTGTCACAGGACCAACTGTGACACACTTAGATGATTTTCATTTGTTTACAAAAGGTATTTGCTGTTATTTTATTTTTTATGCAAACAAAATGGCAAGTGTATTTGTAGTTTTCAATATAAAACTTGTTGAAATGGTTTCAGTGTGTGTGTGTGTGTGTTAGTACATTTTAAAATTTTGTGGCACATTTTACCGCAATAATACTGATAACTGTGATAATTTTGGTCACTATAATCGTGATATGAAATTTTCATACCGTTTCATCCCTAGCCTGTTTTTTAACGTCTGGGAGAAAGAAGCAGATGTACAATTTGCCTTAGTTTCCTGTTGCAAAAAGAATGCTCTAGCTATTTTTGATTAATTTATACACAGTCATGCAAACGATGATCTCCCGTGGCCCGTTTGGGGCAATCCTCTAGCGCCACCACGCTTCACCTTGTCTTACACCCCACTTAATGTAATGAGTTCATCACGAGCATACAACATGATCACGCAAAATACAGAAGCCATAGTTTTCCGCTGCAAAAAGAATGAATAGTCCAGCTATTATAGTTTTTATTTTAGATCGATTTAAAACTGGAACATGCAAAAAACAATCTCCTGCGGCCGAGTCGAAGCTGCCCGCAGGGGTCCATTTTCAAAGGGTTAAATACCACGCTAAATTGAAAACATGCAGTGATGCAGAATTTCAGGCTCATGATGGTAATATAGGGTAGTCTTAGAAAATCAACTCCCAAATCTAAATAATGACATTTGCCAAGTACTTGCCTTCCAAATAATTACCATCAAGTGGGACATGACGGCAGGAGGCTCCAAGAGCTGATGGGAGCTCATCAGGGAGGCCAGCCATTTACTCCAATCGACACAAAGACAGTCTGCTCTCCCTCAGGTCCTCCTACCCACACCCTGAGATGCTGACTGTGGGGTATTGCTAATTAACTCAATGAAGATGAGGTTTCTGCCACAGTTGTCTTAAACAGTGCTCAGGTGTGCCTGCACTCTCATCTGGCTTACTGCCAGTTTGGCTTTTTTCTCTTTCCCCCATCTTTCTGTCTTTTATAGTGCCTCTGTGGAATGATGTTTGCTGTATTATGCATTTGCTTTGCTCTCTGCATTTGCTTTTTTATTACTTACTCGTTCACTGAAATACAAATATCTATTTACAAATACTATGTACGATTAGAAAACTACAAAATAACTGACTCAGAGGGTAGAGTAATGCTCTTTCTTGTGTTTAGCCGCAGCTGCCTTAATACCACTTACAATTTTGTCTCAGACATTTTTATGATAATGTATTACTTTCTTTATTGCTGCTTATTATTCACTCTAGGGTAACTTGTAGTGAGATTTTTTTTCCTGTTGAACTAATTGCCGTTGTAAGGACTTAAAGTAGCTGTGACTTGACCATGAAAGAGGGGGGCAGAGAAGGTAATTACTGAGAGGAGTGCTTTTTTCAATAAGGAAAAGACAATGGAGACACCATCAATAAGAACAAACTTTCCCCCACCCCTCGCCACACTCTGTAATGAAGACCTTTGCTATTGGCGTAGATGGATGAGGGCAGCTCTGTGAGAGCGAGTGATCAGGGCAGGTATATGTTTGTTTTGGGCTGCCTCATGGTGGATATATTGGAATGGGAGTGGGTCTGTCGGAGAGAAAGGCGCTTTAAGACCTGGGTGATTAAGGAACAGAGTTGATGGAAAACGAAGTACTATTGACAAGGCTTTGTCTTCCCCTGGTCTCCCTTGTGCCCACATTGATGCCCCTGTCTAGTCTCCTCCAGGCTAAGCTACCCGACTGGATTCACAAAACTTAAGAGGGATTGATTGTTCTGCAGCAATTTTCTATGCAAGCCCAGGGCAGCAAATCGATTTTGCAGGTTTCAGGAGTGGTGGTCTTATATTTATATTACTGTTAATCATTACTCTCCTGGCATTTTATCTCAGGCATTGATGAGTAGGACCAAGGCGTGCAATTAATACCCGTGGTGCAATCGAGCAAATGGTTGATATCTTTTCATGTTTTAACACCACTAATACATATCTGCATGCACATCACCAGTTTGCTACACACATGTACACAGACATGAAATTCCTTCTTACACACACGCTCAGACACACCTCCATGTTCCGCCCAATGCATTTTTTCCTTATTAGCATACACAGGCATAACAACTGTTACACATTCATGCATATGCTCATCATGTACCTTATCAAAACACACACTCAAACACACACAAATGTGCATACATGCACAAACCTTAAAATTCACCCAGAGAGGCTCCTGCGTGGAATACAGAGCCAGTGCTCCTGACTTGAAAGCCTCTCCAGTGCCTCAGATGTGACATCAGCTCGTTCTGTCTCTTGCTCGCCCCCTCCTTACCCTACTCTCTTCCTCTTTCCTATCCTCTTTCATCAGCTGAGCCCATCTTTTGACACTTCAGAAGGTGTTCCTCACATGCTTGTCACCTCTCCCCTCCCCCACTAGCGCTTTTTTCCCCCGTTCTCTATCGAGAGCATGCGTCTCTGTCTGAAACTTATGTACTTTGTAGAGTTAACGCTTTGGCGTTTGCATCACCTTGAAGTTGGTAAGTGGTACTGAGCGGAGAGACCGATCTTTAGTGTTTCAAGAGAGAAGAGCTCTGAAACATTCTGTGTTAGTGTGGCATGGTGAGCTGGCAAACATCACACTAAAGAAAGGGGGAGGGAAGTAACTGTTTCACCTTTGAATCTGCGCTTCCTTACAACTTTGAACAACAGACTGTGAAGAAGGTGGAAGGTTAGGGATTTCTGTTTCCCCTTTTGTGTAAAAAAAAAAACAACAACTTTTTACTGCTAGACTTTCTGCCTTACAGCCACCATTATCCATTATGTATAAAGCCACCACCAAATGTATTTTTTTCAGATCTTGCATGATCATTTGAAATGGTCCTTTTACAGATTGTGAGCAAATGATAGCAAGAGAAATCACATCAGAAGATCTGTGCCAAGCGTGTTTCGTTAGCTGTACTTGAAGAAATAAATATACAACTATGTAAACACATTGCCGTGTGGGCTGAGCTGTGTCAAATCCCACACTCCCCGCACTCCCGCAGCTTGGCTCTGGCTCAGAGGGAGCATGTTACCTACGTATGGCCGGAGGTGGTCTTTGCCGCTGAAAAATGTATTCTGCTTGTTGATATATCGCTGCTGTGTGTGGTGCACATGATGTGCTAGCATGTGTGTGGGTTTTTCTTAGTTGATCTACTTCGGTATGTAACATGTGGTCAAACAGAACAAGTGGTAGAGAATGTTTTAGTATATGGTTGTGTTTATGTATGTTAATGTGTATCTGTGTTGTAGGTATTAGCAGGGCTTAAAGAAACTGGAGCAGGTTTTGAGAACCATATCTTCAGGGTAAGATTGTATATACAGCTCCTCATGAACTTGTTGCTTCATGCCATTTGGCATAAGGATAAATAGTTTTGTCCTCTTCTATTTTCTATGGCATTTATTAGTTGGTACACATCACTGTTAGTTTAAATACTGCTTTTCTGCTGTCTTCCCCATGTAGTAAGACAGCATACAGAATTTACAAAAATGTACACTTTCACACACATATGTGAATGTAAAATGTTATCTTCTCCTTGGTCATATGATAAGGCTATGGAAAGCTTTGAAAAGTCCATGATATGCAGCATTATCAGCTCATTGTAATAACAGATTGTGGCAGGAACAGGTTAAGCTAACAAAAGTCCCTCAGAACCCTTTTCCTCTGAGTTTTAGTATCTAGCCCTCACCTAAAAAGACTCCGTCATAGTCAGTCTCAATGTAGCAGAAGCAGGGTTCCATTTCCGTGGTATTATCCTCTCCCCATGTAAAACCATGGTTCCTATGGAGGCCTAATCCCCAGCATGGGGAGAGAAGGGCAGGCATTTTAGATTTATTAGTTTTTTTTTCGCACAAAGCTAAAGAAAGCCCTAGGAATGCAGTTCATGCCACGCTGAGATCAGTATGTGCGCAATGCACACAGTCAAAATAGGATTTTGGCAGGTCGAGTAAGAGAGTAAGGATAGAGGGGGAGGGCTAATGCTGGGACTTGAAAAACATTCTATTCTCGAAAGCTTTACTTCATTATCAAGTGAATTTATTATTCCCTGGAGTAATACTAACATTAAATGAGGCTTTTTTAATATGCTGGCCAGACACGCTGCTGCTGGCCATTTGAGCTTTGGAAGAAATAGACACAGAGGAGTAAGCAAAGCAGCTCAGAATTTGACGGGATTTTCTGCCCCTCTGAATTTAGTCATTCCTCAGAAGAGGAGTGAGTAGTGTTTGGTGTTTTTTATTTTATTTTTATGATTATTGTCTGTTCCTTTTTGTTTTGTTCTGTGGCCAATGGCCCAGTGTGGCCTTTCCCTGGGTTCAACAAACACTTCCTTGAATGACATTATTCTTAGGCGTAAAGCCAGACCAGGGCTGGGGAATCACACTTTTATTAGAAAACATGAATCTTGTCACTGGGATGCCTAAGGAGTATTGATGGTACTTGCAGTTCAGATGGCATTTGCAGATAAAGTGGAGTTTAATATTCAAAATTATCATAGTGGTATCTATGACATTCTTCAAGTAGCGTCTAGTCCTTATCGATCGGGTGCTGGTTTCAGAAAACGAAAGAATTAATTAAAGCTACAGATCGATTTTTAAGATAACACATTTTGTGCTGCCTCTCTGATGCCATATCTACTTGGATATGATGGATGTTAAAATGGTGGTTGTAAGAATATTCAGGGCCACATGGATGGGTAAGTTAGGACAAAAGTTTTATTCTTTGAAGTTGGCTGGAGCGATTTTTTTCTTTCTTGGCTTATCAGTTGGCAAAACTCTATTGTATCATGAAAATGAATTCAGTGGGTCCTTTCACAAATAACAGTCCGAGTACTTTGAATAATAGTTCTTTCTAAAACTGAAGCCATATTGCATGCCATCATTTTGTATATCAGACGGGAGAGAGTGCTTTAGTCACTCATTGTCATTTCCTTGATTCTCACCCCTGAGGTTGAACCTGTTATTAAACTATA